CATCTGGGTATTACTGCTTCTTTCTGTCATTGGATTTTAACACACAGAATTCTTGCAGACTCACTTAGCAAACATTTACTGAGCAAGGACTATATTGCTATGTTAAAGCCTGCTTGTAAATCCTTCTTGCCAAGGTCTAAATGGCTGCTTGCTTGAAATGTCAACTCTTCTTGGAGATAGCTGCATTTTAAAATAATTTGAGGACCTAAGTTATGGATGGGAAATTACCTTACAGTTCTGGGATTAGGGGAGATGTCCAGGGGTGCTTCTTGTTGAGAAGGGCATTTGGGCGCCCTGAATTATGGCCACAGGACTGGTTGTAGACTGTTATCTCTTAGGGATAAATGGCTCAGAAGGACACAACAGACATCTTTTTGGACTCCTCATCTTGATTTTGGTCCCTAGATAGTAAGGTTCTTTGGGAATAGGAAAGCCTTAGAATATTAACAGCAAACACTTTCTCCAACCTCTTTCTTTATATGTCTCTAGGCATTTGGGATCAGAATGCTGCCCTCACTTCTGATAGTGGCAGAGGAACAAAGGTCCCCTTCCTTCAGACAGGTGACCTCTTCCCACAGCCTAGGGAAGGAGTGTGAGAATAATGGTCCTCACAGTGGCAGGAAAATCAAACTACTTGTCTAAGACTGGGGTTTGTCTTTTTAAATCATTGCTTCATTAGTGTATCATTCTCTGTCTCCCTGATTTTATATTTCAGTTTCTGGCAGGTTGATCAGAAGGCTGTAGCTAAATCTTCTACTGTCTGTGGGGCACTGGCCACCCTCAGATACACGGCTATGCATGAGGGCTCTTTGGCAACACCAGTTACTTTCTGTCCAGGTTGCTGTATCCCTGAGTCCTGCAGCCGCTGGTTACCATGTACGCCTCCCCTTGGTTTCATTCTCAGAATGTCACAGTGACCAGCTTGCAGGTGGCATCCTGCTGTAGATGCTGGCACAGATTTTCAACCAGTATGCTGCCTGTACTGATTTTTTCCATTATTTGCTGCCAATGATACTCACTTTGATCTTTCCCTCCTCCTCCTTTTCCCCATGTACTCTTTCTGAATCACTCAGGCTTAGGAACCAGAAAAAGAAGCCCTTCGTTGTAAGGCTAATCCTAGGATTTCTAGGTTTCTTTGGACTCAAATTCTGCCATGAGCAGCCTGGACCCCACAGGCCTTGTTGACGCCTTCCTCACTGTGTTCCCAAGCTCATGTCTTTTCTCCATACTTCCCATGCCAAATAGACATGATTTTTGATTCCTTCTCTTTTGTTGAATCTGCCAAATGTGAAATCCAGATGATTCCACTAATGTCAGACACCACCAACCTCTGAACAGTCCCATTATGCTTACCTTTCTTGCTGCACTGTGTCAGCAACAAGCTTATTTCATGTGAAAGTAAATGGGTTTCACAAGCGCTGGAAATAGCATTTGTTGTCTGTTAGTGAAAATATGAGTGTGGGTCACAGTTGAGAAGGATTGTTTAGATATTGGGGGTCTTGATGCTCTGTGAGGAATGAATACAACCCCTAGGTGAAATAACCCAACAAAATGAGCTCTTCCAATACCCAGGGAAGACCTTCTGGAGCCATGAGGAAAGGATGTTACTTCTGTTGCAGGGCAGTGCAACACTAATGAAAAGGTGAGAGGGAGGGATGCATATACCTGACAAAAGATTCCCTCCCAGAATTAATAGTTACGTTGACAGTTCACTCTGTGAACTGTCATTCTAGCACCCAAAGATAATGATTACAACCAGCTCTTACGGGGCACTTTTTATAACTGGTGATGTTCTAAGTATTATACATGATTTTTGTCATTTAATCCTCAGCGCCATGCTATAGAGGAATACTCGTATTATCTGTATTTTAAAAAATGAAGTCCCTTATCTAAAATTGTACAGCTGGTAAGTGTTGAAACTAAACTTTGAACCCAGACAGACTAGTTTCAGACTTTTACTTTTATCCTATATTAATTCCATTTAATGACAATACTTCTAAAATATCAATGCCTTTCACAGTACTAGCAGACAATAGATGCTCAATGAATATGTGCTGAAAGAAAATATTTGCTAAAAAAAAAAAAATCTTATCAGAGAAGGGAGTAAAGGATATGGGATATTGTCAGCAGTGACTTTGTCTTCCCAAGACTACAGTCTCAGCTAGGTGGGGCACTAGGTGCGGGCATTTTGTAGGACACCATGGAAGAGATCAAGATCTCCCCTCCTTGTCCCAAAGGTTCAAAATCTCGGAGTCAGAATACAGCTTCTCTGCTCCAGCCACCTTGAACTCTTTATTGTGACTCCTTAGCCATGCCATGTATATCATCCCTCCACACACTGGCTCTTGTCTCCATTGCCTGAAATGTGCTCTCCTCTTTTGTTCACAGGGAAAACTCTTCATCACTGTTTAAGGACCACTACTTCTCTATCATTTTATCTGACTTCTGCTTTACCTTTTTGAGTCAAAAGTAGCTGTCCTTTCACATTTCAGTTTATATCCAACTCTGCCATTTTGCATTCTTGGCTAACATTTACCACCTATTTTCCCCACTCAAAGGTGAGCTCTTTGCAGGAAGAGTCATGTATCCTCAGTGTATGTATCCACAATACCAAGCATATCCATAAGGTCAAGCATAGTTCCAGATGCATTCTGGGTACTCATTAGCACAACTGCACCAAATTGTAGTTCTTGCTTGCTACCCTTTGCTCTGTTGTTCCAAAGGCTCAGTGGGCCTGCTTGGGGAGCTCAGGGCCAGAACAATTACAAGGAATGGGCTGCCTATCCTTCTCAAGTTAACTGGCCACCAGCCACTTGCTCCAGGGGAGGGTCAACTTGATTTAAAGGTGCAAGATTGAGGAAGAGTATGTCATGAACTTGACTAAATGATTCTCTTAACCAGTGTCAGCCCATTGAACTGTCTCTTCAATTTTAACTGTTCCATCAGTCAAACAGCTTACTCAGCTTTTCAGAGGCCTATTACTTGTTCTGAAAACATTGGCAACATTTTGGCCTCCAAACTGACTTTAAGCCTGTTATAGATAATGTGTTCTCTCTGGATTAGGTGACACATCTTGGTCGTATTGGAGAAACATCAGTTATGTCCGTGCCTTGGCTGGTAACAGCCAGAATTGAGGGTGTGCCAGCTTGCACCTCATTGCTAACAGACTCCTTAATTAACCTGCTAAATCTAGTGCACAATTCATTGTTGTCTTAGAATTGAGATGCATAATATGCACACTTGTTCTTCCTCTACACTTTTTTATTTGCTCAGGTTATTAGGTAGTCAAATTCTCTTGGGTTCTGCATTAAACCTTGTCAAAAGAAGCAAGAATTTGAGAAACACCCAATGGAGTTGATTTCTTTGACGAGACTTGCTATTGCTGCATTTACCCCTCGATAATTGAGTTTCTCTTCCTCCTAGTATTTAAACACATCAACTCACTTAATCTTAAGTGTCTCCTTTTCTTGTAATGTCTCCATTCTCATAAACTACTGTTTGTAAAATAAAAGGCTGAAGAAGCCCCTTTCGTTTTCCTTTTATGGAGGCCTGTGCAGTGAGAATGGAATCTCTGCCTTTTCATGCTTCTTGGGCTATGCATATGCATGCCTCCTGTTTGTCATGCCTGAAATAAATTTTCTACCTGTGTTTTTGCTTCATGCTTTGCACACAGTGCCCCAAATTGCTACTCCACGGGAAACTAAGCCAAGGACACGTTGTGTTCCATTTTCATGATGAAATGTAGATTTCCCGTTGAACCTAATCAACCTTCATTTCAAAGGGTTGACAAGGCAGATACTTAAAGAATTCACTTGGTGTTAAATTTATGGTACTGAAAAAGAGTCCATTCCAAGAATATTCTCTGATTCTAAAGCTATAGAATTTTTATTTGATTGTTTATTGAATTACATTTTCATTCACTTCAAGTCCCTGCTTCTCAATTCTGTGTCCCGCATAGAGAGACAAACTTGTTGATAGTCACATTGATCTCCGTAACATTCTGTCCCAGACTGAAAACATCTAGTCTTTCAGTCATGCTTCCATCAGATAATTTTTATAGCCGTTGATATATCTGAGATTTTGCATGAAAAAAATATGGTCTTTTTCTAGTCAAGAAGTAGAAATAATGTACTTTGAGTTAGTAACCAGGTGCCAGAGATGTGCTAGATTTTAACATCTGCTAAATCATTTTTTTTGCAACTCTGGGGGGTGGGTGCTGTTGTCTCTTTTTCACAAATAAAGGTGTCTGGACTTAAGCTTCTATGCTCTTCCCCCAAAACACAAATAGCAGAGGAAGCAAACTCAGGCTTGCCTTTCCCCAGAGCAATTGCTTTTTTACATTCTGTAAAATGTTTTTCCCTAAAAACATTGTTGGTGTGGGAAGGCCAACAGTATTTAGAATATCAAATGAGACAAAATTCTTCCTGCTTACCCTAGAAGTGACCCAAGAATCACTCTCAACACAGCATCTAAGTAGCCGCTATTGATTAATTAGTACTAGTATGCAGACTGAAAATTATTTGCCATTCTGTCTGCAAAGCAAGTGTGGACTTTATTACTAGACCATAAGGTTCATACCCTAACCCACTCTCTCAGCGAAGTAGCTCCAATGAAGAGGGGATGGTAATGCAGAGACCTAAGGCACAAAGACCCACAGACCTGAAGAAGCAAGGGTGGTGTCAGCAGGAGTCATGAGTGACACAAACAAACGACACACAAATAAGACATTTTGTGTGTCATTCAGCCAGTTGTGAATTCCTCTGGCAAAAAAAAAAAAAAAAAAAAAGTTTATTTACCTTGGAAGTATCCCATAAAGATATAGCAACCAGATTTCTCTCCCACTCGAATTCACTCTTTCACGTCACGCTATACATAATATATAATTATGTAACTTAATGATTCATACCCAATTACATGGTTGTTCTCACCCAGTTTGCACATGCTTCCTAACATCATTGTGTACTTGGCTACCCACTCAGCATCCATTTTCTTCTTTCTAGATCACATCAGCATTTGCTGCCCACTTTCTCCCTCCAGCATCTTCCGCAGCCTAGTCATACATTGTGTGCATCAGGCCTTCACCAGCATGCTAAGATTTGTCCAAGAGTCTTGATGTCCTAAACGCAAGTGACATGTAAAGCTTGGATCCCAAGGTCAAACAGCATGACTTGTGGATAACGTAAGTAGGTAAAAATATACACGCCTTTCTCCTTCACTCATATGCCATTTTAGAACACTTGATTAACTATATCTATAAAATGAGAAGTTTTTTTTTGCTCTCTAAAACTGAGCCTGCTTCTAAGCGGGGTTAATATGGACAACAGTAAAGCCCTGGTTGTTCTGAAGTCTAGTATGGATTTGGTTATGTGAAGTTGAAGGTACAGCCCTGGAACCAAGCAGAATTGCTTTGCATAATAGAGAAGAAGGTTGGCAAGGAAAGATCCAGGAGTAAATGACAGGCAAAAGGGCAGTTGTATAATTAGATGCAGAGAAACTCCAGTAGTGGCATGCCTGAGAAGTGAATTGGAGGTATAGACGTGTTTAGTGGGAATATTTAAGAGATTTTTTTGGTGTGAGATGTCACACATAAAACTCCTACTTCATCATTTGTTGATACCAGCCCCTATTTTGGCATGATTCCTTCGGTGGACTTGGAAGAGGTACTAAGCTCTCTGTATCCAGGGTAAGTGAGGCAAAAACAGAGGGAGCAAGTTTTTATGCAGGAGCTGCAGGGGTTGCAGAGGCGAGTCTCAAAGAACCTCAGAGAGACATTTTGGAGTCTGAATTGGAATTATCTGAATCAAAGTGTCTAGATTACTAGTACAGCATTTCCCAATCTAGGATTCCTTTTGTGAAACAGAACACACACAAAACTTCAGAAATTATTTTCTCAGCCCTCTCAAGATTGCCAGTATCTAGTATCATTCTAGGTATGTGGAAGAGAAGCAAAGTTACTATATAATATGGATGTTTTAGTGCAAGGGTCAAACTACTACTGGTGCCAAATCCAGCCTATTGTATGCTTTCGTAAGTAAAGGTTTGTTGTAACACAGATGCTCCCATGTGTTTATGTATTGCCTATGGCAGTTTTCATGTACGACCCACAATGCCTAAAACATGTTTTGTGTGGACCTTTCATTAAAAGTTTACCAACTCCTGTTTTAGGGCATTAGGTCTTTATTAAGCCTTAAATTTTTAGGAGACCCTAGTTGAGAAAGGCTGATTGGTGACATCTTAGATTAAGTAATCAACTTAGAATGGAGCCAGGAATGTGTCCTCACCTCAGATGAACACTAGCAGGAGATATTTACTGTACAGACCATTCTGGTCTTTGCCAAGACGACAGTTGAGACTTAGTCACATTTGAAAGAAAGTAGACTAAAAAGAGAAAAACGTTACAGTTGTAACTTTGCCAGAATTCCAGTCTATTTATGACATGGCCTAGGAAACTTAAACCCAGTTGGGAAACAACTCCCATGAAAGAGTCTATAATGGCCATAGATTTATCAGAACTGAAGGAGAATTCAAATATACACAGTCCCCTTTCTCAGAGAGACATGTTTCTTCTAAATTTAGATATGCAGTGGTGGCAGGCCCAAGCACCAGTTTGGGGACTTTTTTTTTTTTTTTTTTTTTTTTTTTTTTTACCCATATTGCACATTCAAAACCTCTTTTTTGCCTTGGCCTATTTAGAGTCCTTGTACCTGGTGCCTGAGAACCAAATTGGATGTGGGCTCTGTTTAGAGATACAGCCTCTTTGAGCTTTGTATGCAGATACTTATCAATCTTGTGCCTCAGTGGCCCCACCATGTCTTTTCCTGTGGCATTGTTTAATCCTAAGACTTCTGTTCTTTAAGAAGGTTTGTACCCTTGCCTTGACATCCCTTTTAGCTGGGGCATTACCCTTGGAAGGCTCTAAAACAGAGGTTGCCATTGACGTTTCTGAAGTCTATGCCCCTAAGCACATCTGCCATGCAATTCTTATTTTTCCTCTGCTTTTAGATGATACAAGCCTTGAGTAACAATTTTTTCACTGTAATATTTTTCTCCAATAATGGGATATGTCTCTAATGCTTCATTTTCCTTGCTAGTTTCTCTATGCCTTTTAAGAAAAGCTCAGCTGAGATTTTGACAGTTTAACTTTCTTCTTTAGTTAGTTCCTTTCCTTCTCTACCATGACATGGTGGAAGGCTAGCAGTATTAGCTGGACTAAGCACTCTCTTTCCTCTCTCCTTTTTGATCTGTGCCCTAGACAGGGATGATACTCAAGTATTTGACAATTAGAAGGGCACAGTCACTAACAAATAGAAAGAAATGCTGACTGTAAATAAGACATATGGCCATGCTGGTATACACTTGTGCTGAATATCAGCCCAGCCCTAGACATTGGCTTTTTAAAAATTTATGAGATATATATATATAAAAAATAGTGGGAGGCTTCACAGTAAGACATGATAAGTCAGTGAGCTCTGGTCAATAAGGTAATCTGTTGTTCAAGCAAATCCACTTTGGCTTCCAAACCTGGAGTTGGTAAACCTAAGTGGTAGTATTGCAGCAGACCAACATCTAAACTGGAACAGGATTTCATCTTTTGTTATTTTCCCCAGGTCCCTGTTAGTATTTTTTCCGTATTCCTCATATTCTCTTAGAGGCCAAATTTCACAAATTTTGGCCTACTTCAATAGCTGCATCTGCACCATTGTGTGCTGGAGCTGACTTGCATTGACTCCTAGAGCTGGCTGTGCACATCTCTTCCAACTTTGTGTTCAGTAACTTTACACTGGATGCTTGAAATCAGTCATGGAGGGAGTATTCATATCTCAGAAATTGGCAAATGCTACAAATAAGGTTATTATTATTTTCCAGAGAGTGGGTTGTTAAACAATAACCAACACAATTCCACCTACAATAACTAGTCTCCTTGAAATTTACCCCCATAACGCTGCAAGTATTTTAAGTTGATCTTTACTAAAGTAGTCTAATTTTTTCTCCTGAAACCTTTTGTATAGCTATTCCAACTTTCAAGAAGTGGTCCCAGTTGCTCTTTCATAAATTACCTTCAGCTTTAAAAGGAGGGTTTTCTTGGATTCAGGCTTCCTTTAGGATTGGTTGAGCTCTTATTCCTTGCTCTGTGGGATTTCTTTGGACTAGAGCAACACTTTTGTACCTAAAACAAAACATTTCCTTTGCTTTTCTAATCTCTTCTCTTTGAGCCATTTGATGTAGAAACATCTCATTTTCCTTTTTATATTTGTCTATTGACATCCAAGATTTTATTTTCACATTCAGATGGGTATAGGCAGTTCTCTAAGAGTTCCTAAGGAATTTTTTATATTTCTTCTACAGCTTCTGATATGGTATTAAGATAATTCATATTTTTAAAGCAAAGTCCATTTCTTTTCTTAGCAAGCTTGATTCCTGGGGACTACTCCAGACAAAGACCTTTTTAGCTTTTAAATTCATAATCGTAATCACTGCAATTTTTAAAAATTACTTAACCTAAGAAGACACCCTATTTTTTTTTTTTTTTGAGACAGAGTCTCAGTCTGTTGCCCAGACTGCTGGAGTGCAGTGGCACAATCTCGCGTCACTGCAGCCTCTGCCTCCCGGGTTTAAGCAATTCTCCTGCCTCAGCCTCCTGAGTAGCTGGGACTACAGGTGCATGCTGCCATGCCTGGCTAATTTTTTGTAATTTTTAGTAGAGACGGGGTTTTACCATGTTGCCCAGGCTGGCCTTGAACTCCTGAGCTCAGGCAATCCGCCTGCCTCAGCCTCCCAAAGTGCTAGAATTACAGGCATGAGACACCACGCCTGGCCACCCTATTCTTTATAAAATAAAGATTCCTATTCTTTAAAAAATGCTCATTAATAAAATCCACCATCCTTTTGTGGATGAGAAGACAAAGTCTGGGTGTTTAAAACCTGAGGTCTTGGACAAAACCTAGGTTAATTAGTAAATCTGGAGCCAACCCAGTATCATGACACCGAGGATAACCTTTGGCAACTCATGAACATGCTGCACAATCTAAGAAGTTAGCATCTCCCCACTTCTCAGGCTTTGAATGCAATTCAAAATAAATAATATAAAATGATAAAATAATATAGAAAAACTAACTTCTAGAATGTACCTCCTCTTCTTTGCAACTAATTTTCTTTCAAATGTCAGCTCTAATATCACCTCTATGAAGATTCTCTGACTCTCCAGTGTATTTGGTCTTCCCTCTGTACTTTTGTTGGTTCTGTTTTATTATACCTGTATTGCGTAATAATTCTTTCTTTCATTGTTCTATAACACTAGGAAGTAATCTTCCTTGACGAGAATATCTTTTATTCTTCTTCATAACCCCAGGACCTAGGGCAATGTCTGTTGCATTGTTGGAACTTTATAACATTTGGTTGATAATAGAATGCAGCATTTGTTCTAGGATTTGTCCAGTTTACATAAAAAAAATTAAGAGATGTCATGGAAAATCAGTTATTTGATGCAGTGTCCTCCATTTGAAAGTTACTACTCCTTTAGTTTGACCTGGTAGTAGAGCAAATTAAAGGTAGTTATGCTGCCATTGAGAGGAATTGTTCCATTTTATTCTTCTTCTCCAATGAGTCCAAAATCTACTTGGAATTTTCCATTGGAGGGTGTGATAGTAGAAGGATACAGAGTAACATCTTGCTTGGGCGGTCCAATGACTTAGTCTAATTCACAAATACACCCATGTTTTTATGATCTAAGGAAATGGGTTCAGGGTTTGAAGTCAGACAGTCTGGATTTCTACTGCTTGGTTGTACCAATTAACGGCTGTGTGCTCCTAAGCAGGTCATTTAATCTCAGTGAGCCTTTGCTTGCTTATTCATAAAATGGACGTAATATCTATTCCCAGGAGCTGATTTGAAGATTATATTCGATACTTTGTAAACATTTATTCTCTAGAAATCAGTATTTTTATGGGAGTGATGATTGCTAGAGTCAGCTAGAGTTAACTTGTGGGCTTGGACCCTATTAAGTAAAAGAGAAACCCAGTATAATTATGAATCAACTGCCGTTTCTCCTCTGACATTTAGAGATATTCATCTTTCTCATCACAAAAAGATTTAGCTTGGAAATAGCCCTGCTTCATGGCTCATCCTGAAGTGAGATTTTTTTTTTGTCTTTGTTGAAAGTTTGAACTGATACAATTCCAC